TTCAAAGTTGGTTTAGGGGAATTGTCAAATCTTCCTTGCCTACTTCATTGCCTGAGTTCTACAGTAACAAAGCTGTATTACCCACTACCTAGATTATTTGTCATCCAAAATCCTTTATAATCTCATATAGATAAATGATCTTGAACAGAATGTTCAAAACAAAAAAGAAAACCCAGGGAAATCCCAGAGCTTCAGAGCAAGAATTTCAAAGCAAGTAGTCAGCTGTGGGCAAGGTTTCCCTGCTGCTGCTGCCTTCTTTGTCACTGCACATCTTACATTTTTTTTCTGTACAATGGCATGGTTTCAAAGTAAGGAGTGGAAGGCAGTCCCATGAGTCTTCAAGCCTGGTGGTAAACTGCCAGCCCAAACACTGCCTGGCTGAAGAGAGTTCAATATCTGGTCTTCTTCCTGGGTAAATTATTTCATCTTATTTTTCTTACTGGAAAGTTAACTGGTGATCTGTGTTTCTTCTCTGTGTTTTTGTGCTGAATTCAGTTATATTGTGGATGTGAGCTCAGATCATGATTAACAAATTGGGCCCTCAGAGGTCTAAGAAGGAACTTGCTTGCATATCCTTTAGTTGTGAGTTTGGGTTGCATCCAAACCACTGCATCATTATCTACTATTCAGCTGTAGTTTGAAACACTTGCATACACTATACTGAAATGCTAGTTGTAAAAGCAGTATACATTTTTTGTAATTGATTTAATATTGATTTACTTTTTAAATAATATATATTTTTTATTTGTCTGCATTACTGCAACTGAAAACAAGTTATTTTTTTCCTTTTCCTTTATTTTTCTTAACCTCTGTCTTCTAGAGTTGACTTTAATTTGAAGATCAGTTGTTACAAACAAAAATTAGGAGAGCATAGGTAGTCTAATGTGGTGGACAGTGATTGTAATTGGTATTCTGAGAAGTTCTGATGAAGCTGTCATTCTTAGGAAGAGGGAAATAATTTTCATTTGTGTAGCCTGTGGATATTCTCTGTTTGAAAGATATGACCATTTGTATGTCGTGGACAATTTACAAGTGGATACTCTAAGAGAAGAGATAACTTGGCAGGAACCTAGTTATATGTTGTAATTCTGCCACTGAACAGTTAACATTACAGTTAGAAAATATATTCAAAACATTCTTAGTCATGTCTTAGATCAGAATGAGCAAGAGTGAGGCATGAACATATTACTTTCAGAATAGGCTTGAATTTATCTCAAGCTTTGAATCTGACCTTTTTCAGAACAGGAAAAGCTGAGTCTTCATCCCATTATCTCTCAGAACATGTTTTTTATTCCTTTTGTTGGTTTGAAAGTGTGGAAAAGCTGATGAAAGCCTTACAAGTAAACAAGTAGGTGGAAAAATTTCTACGATTAGTCATTGTAAAAGCTGTTAGACTTTCAGGTGGTTTCCTGAATCCTTGAAGGTTTTGCTCTTATTGTTTCCAAATCTCAAAAGTGAAGGAGTTTTCTCAGAGAAACAGAGATTGAGTTGGGATTTAATTTATTTATCAAGCTGTGCAGCTGAAGCTAGCAATACAGTACATAGCAGAAACACCATACTGTGTATGCTGATTTGTTCTGGACCTTCTTGTATAGGTCTTTATACAGGATTAATCCTAATAGCATTAGCGTAGTAAGACATATTGCTAAGTAGACTTAGACTTAGACAAAGACTTAAAACAAACATCCTTTGGACACTGCTATTAAATAGCTGGCATGACATCAACCTCTTTAACCAATTCTCTGCTTTTCTCAGACATCATCTCAGACAAAGGGAAACTGAGCAACGGATTACCAGGAGCTGCAATATCACCATGAGCCTTTTGAATTAAAGACTGTTGCCACCCATTTACTCATCCTTATTCAGACCATTCTGATGAGATATGATATAGTCTTAATCTAACAGATAAGAAGCAGATTTGATCACTTTAAAACTATTTAAGAAGCCTTATATTTCCGTCAAAATTATGCAATGTTACAATGCGTAGTTCTCAGATAATAGTTTTCAGATAATGTCTTGAATACTGATAATTTTAGTGATTCTGAATATACAGTATCAGTAGGCTTAAAACAGATGTGAATGCTTGAGGTAGCATTTAAATTTAACACTGTTGTTTTTTAGTGGTTTTGAAGCAAGATGACTCTAAAAGCATGTTGTTCTGGTTGATAAGCCTTGTGGGTGGCTTCATAAATCAGCTATAGTTAAAATTATGAACCCAAGCAGAATGCTTTATTAATCTGATTTTTCTAAATGATTTTTTTTTTTTTTTAATCACGGTAATACATTGTGATAAATAGTTAATAAGATCAATGTAAAGTCTGAGTTCAACATCAGCAGGTTTTTTCATTTCAGTTGTGGATACTGTTTATTTCTACGTTCAAGTATAGATACTAATGTAACCAGTATACATTGTAATTTGAAGCATAGTAGAGCACCACTGGTTCAAGATGAAGAATACCTTTTCCACTTGAAATGGAACTATTGTTTCTGTATCAGTAGTGACCTTAAATACATCAGTGCCTCAGTGATTTGTTCTGCTTCTTGATACCTGGGAGCTTCTCAGTACTGATTGTGGAACCGACCATTTCATTTGCAAAGGATCAGAAATAAAAGCTGATTTAGGATAGGGACAGGGTTTGCTTTCATATGCTTCAGAATAAAGAGGAGGATAATTTAGGATGCTGGCTTTACAAAAATGTCCCTGCTGCTGTTGCCAAGAGAGTCTGTGGGCTGTGATTGTGACACCTGCTCCAGTGTCACATGCAGATTTCACACAGGTCTTGGCAAAAACCCACCCAAGTTGGCTCCCACTCTGTGCTCTCCACATTAAGGAGATGAGTACAGGTGGTTGTTGTGCCTGTAGTACCAGAGTCATGGTATGCAATCATTTTAAAAAGCAGTGCTATGAAAGTTTATGGGAAAGCTTTTGGCGTTCTACATGTGCCTGGATCATGTTTGAATTGTGTGTGTGGCAATGGCTTTTTTTAAGGGGCAAGGATTCTGTCATCTACAGGAGTTTTCTCTGGATATCTGAGAGGCTGCTTTTCCTTAAGAGCACATCACACGCTGCTCCTTGCTACAATCCTCCCTGGATATCTGCAGACCCTAGCTGTGAGGTGGCTCACTGCCTTCTCCATCTGTCCACTGCTGCCTTCCAAATGGGGCTCATGACCCTCCTGATGGTCACTTTGGCTTTTGTCTTTCTCTTCTATACAGATAAAGGAAGGGTAAGATAGAAGAGATGAAATAGAGGGGAAAAATCCCCACACTTATAGAAGTATCTTTCAGTCACAGGGGATAACATTGAGCTGATACTATTTGCTTCATGCAAGTGCTGATTCCATTTTGTGTCATCTAAGTAAAGTCTACTTTTGTCCCCTTGTGTATTGTTGGAGCTCTGGCTAAGTCTGGCATTGTCTGGATGAGCTGAAGCCCTTGGACTGAAAAGGAATACAGGCGGATGTCTCTTGCAGCGCACACAACATTTCTCTTTTTGCACGTGCTGAAGGAAACCTTTCTCAGGAAGCACTGATTTCTGTGGCCAGAGTTACAGTTTTGGTAGGCTTGGAAGGATTTAGTTGTAATAGCAGGGGAATAGGCTGAATGATGGCATGACTAGGGTTTTTTTTTGTTTGTTTGTTTTTTTCTTTTATAGTTTTCAGTTACATGGTCTAGCCTAGACAAGTGGCTAATGGGTGGGAATACATTTCTCCTTAAGTTCTTAAACTTGCTGTGGTGTTAATCCTCCATCTACCAGATTAAATTAAAACCATACACATCAAGGAAATAAAACTTGTAAACAGAAAATAAATCTTACAGCTTTGATTACAAAGACCATATATAATTTCAAAGCACAGAAATTTTCTGATGGAGCTGTACAGACTGAATTAGTTTCTGAAGGAACACATTAGAGATAATCTTGAGTTTGATCATGGAAATGTTTGATACTGTATATCCTCCTCTGTCTTTGGACTCTTTCTTATCTACAGATTAGTCCCTCTGTAGAAATTAATCTACTGTGCCTGTTTTGTTTTACCCTTGAAATGTTAGAGGCAAAAGTGGATGAGTAGACAGATCTGAGAAGCTGTAACTGAATGAGTGAGTGACTCATATATATAAATGTAAACTGAATCTTTTGGTTTGACACTGAAGGTTCTCAAAAGTAAGAATCAGATTCCTTGGAGTGTTGCTGCCTCATAATAATACTTCTTTTTGGGATGGCCTGTCTACTTTTATTATTTCCTTGTTTTGGTGGTCTTTCTTATAATATAGTTTTCTGTTTAACTGTAAATTTGCAGGATAAATTCATGAAAATGAATAAATCATGGTTCTATAAATTAATTTTAAATACAATGAGTAGGATTTGACTATTAAAGATGTCTGAAATGCCAAAGAAAATAATAATGTTATAAATGTGTAAAAATTCAAAATAAAAAAAAAGATGACTGACAGATTGCAGTTCTGAGCCATTGCAACCTTTGGTAATATATATGATTCTTCTTCTATGTATAGCAGTGTATTGACATACTTGCTACTAAAGGATTTAAATTTCTGTACCTGAAATGGCAGTACAATCTGGCTTGGTTCTTCAGGTTTCTGCACCATGATATTCCATCTGCACAAATTTTATGTAACTTTTGAGTTTCTATAAAACATTAAAATGTTAAAGCATTTAATCTGTATTCATCACGTGACTATGCCAAGAAAATGCAGTTAAAGACACTCTTATTCACTCTATTGAAAAAAGAATTGTCCTGTTGGTCTCTGCAGACAATGGTAAAGATAAATGGATAGTATTTAGATTTGTTACAGAAGCTCATTCATACTGTTTTTTGCGATGCAGTACTTACACAATATTTTTAGAGTAAATGTTTCTAACACAGATCCAGTAAACTATGAAACATTTCTGTACACTCTAAGAAAGATTGCTGCGATGCATTTGACTTTCTATCATGTGTAAATATTTACCCTTTGGCTTTGTACTGCTTTTTTTTTTTCAGACATTACCCAAAGCAGTCTTTCACTACAGTGGCTGATACTCCAGAAAATCTACGTCTGAAGCAACAAAGTGAATTGCAGAGTCAGGTAAATCAAATGATTCTTCTGTTTTACTTCTATTGGATTAGCAGCCCCACTTCTCAGTAGTTTTTCTATTGGAAGAAATATCTTTAGGTCAGAATAGCATCACAAAACTCAGGGTTTTATGTCTGTTCTCATAAATGTAATCATATATAGTTGTATATATAAATATATAATCATATAGTTGTAACTCTGTTGACATTACTGAAGTCATTAATTTTTCAGCTGTATGTTTAGTACCTCTTTACATAGTTTTTAAAGTATGAAATCTAATAGCTGAATCCAGAGACGTTCATTTGCCTTAGACGAATGTTATTTTTTAGCTTGCATCAAATTTCAAAGCTGTGTGATTACAAACAGTTAGTTTGTCATCGGCAAACGTTTAGGAGATCTGTCAAAACTGACCTTGCTGAATGATCCATTTATAAATCTAGTATGTCCTGGTGAGCTCAGATATGGTCCATTCTATAAGCCAGATGTGACAAATAAATTATCCATTAAAGCTTACCTATGTTAACGGGACACTGAATTAAACAGGTAAAGAGAAAAGTAAAAATAAAAAAAGGAGATAAAGACAAAAACATTGTATTAGCTTACTGGTATTACACGGTAGGTTTACTACTGTTTGTATTGATATTAATTCCTTAACATCTGGTCTTTCCGTCCTAAAATATCAGTTTTGTATTGTTTGATTTTATGTATGAAACATTGGAAATTATCCTGGCTGTGTGAGACAATTGATAATATAGGATTCATTGTATTTTGTGAAAGTTGGTTTTCTATTACAGTTTTATTCTTAATTTACTTGCAATTTCTCATTATAAATTGACAGTTTCTAGTAATTACTGACAATTAACATAATAAGGTGTGGAGCACAAGACAGACAGGAGGCATAAAGGGCTTTTCTGTTTGGGAACCTCTTTGTAGGTTAATGGGTGAAATCAGAGGAATATTAAAAAAAAAAAAATCAGCAGATATTTGGCACGATGTATCCATTAAAAAAATTGCTTTTATAATTAGGGCTGTTCTTAAAACTCAAAGAAATTCTTTCATGCTGTAATTCTATCAGAAGGAAAGAGGAGAGTTCTGTAGTCCAGTGTTCTGTGTACATCAGTTAACATCTTGTTGACAGGAATGCATTAGCTATATTTTGTAAAAGTCTGTTTAAAAGAATATAAACTTTGCGTATACTCTTCCTAGTGGTTTGAAAAAAAAAAGATTGGATTCAGGAAAATAATACACTTTTTCTACTCTGTCAGTTTTTCACTGTATTACCTTGTGCATCTGTGCACACGTGCATGTATACGTGTGAGAAATCACTTTCCCCATCACTTTCCCTGTTTGAAAGATGCTGACATGTTTTGTGTGAGGAAACTTGTTCTATACTGGTTAAAAAACACCCAACAAGCGTAGTATTTTACAACTGGATAGGCAGTACCTTCATCAATGAGAAACCTGGATTTTGCTTAAGTATAAACTTACTGCAACTATTTGCAAGAAGTGCCATAAAATGCTGTATAAAGTTCTACTTAAAACTTGGAAAGAGGGAGAAACCCATAATTTGTAAAAGGTCCCTCTTTATTAGGTGTTGAAAGTTTGTCAAATACAGTTCTAAACTACATAGATCTATACAGAAGTAATGCCTCCCATTTCTTTCCATGGAAGATACAAAAGCTACACATAGCATAGCACTATTTCAGAGAGCAAATTCTCAGCTACAAAACGATATTTTTCAACAGTAATCACCATTAGCTACACGTTTTCACCAGCTATGAACAAGAGCAAGCATGCTGTGTTCAAAAAGTCTGCTCCAGTGGAGGTGACCCGGTGTTTCATGACTGCTACGATGGCATAATTACTAGGAAAACATTACTCATGCAGTCTGTCTTTCATCAGCCCAAACAGATGGAAGTCAGAAGGTGCTAGATGAAGACTATACCACACTGGTTGATGGATGTGGTAGGACAGTCCAAGCCAAGATTGGTAATGTGCTCCACGGTCTTTAGACTGGTTGGCGTTATCATGTTGCAAGAGACACTGTTTTCTCATCTGGCCTGACTCTGGAAGTTCAAGCATTCAGCATAGTGAGATCTGTGATGTAGTGGTCAGAGTTGATGGTTTGTCTTGATTCCAGGAAATCCAGAAGGCTCATTCCTTTCCTATTCCAAAAGACAGTGCACATCGCTTTACTTTCTGAGAGCTGTGTCTTGAACTTTTTTACTGATGGGGAATTCATGTCACCAGTCCATAACTCCATTTTGTCTCTGGCTTGTAGTGGTGGCACCGCGTCCCTTCACCAGTAATGATGCAATCCAGGAAACTGTCACCTTCAGCCTCGTTCTGGTTCAGCAGGTCCTGACAAACTTGCATATGGTGTTCTTTTTTTTCCTGTGTGAGCATTCATGGGACCCACCTGCAAATTTTGCCATATTCCAATTTTGCCACCATCATTTTCAGCACACTGAAGCTGATCTCAGCTCCATCTGCAGTTTCCTGATCTCAATCCGCTCATTTGCACGGATGAGCTGATTGTGATGCTTTTCATTTTGTGATGTGATAGCTGTGCAGGATCTTTTGGAATGTGGATTATCATTCATACAGCTGTCACAACTGCTGAAATGCACCACCCCACTGCCTCACTATACTCACATCCACTGTTCGGTCTCCATAAATGTTCAGCAAGTGTTGATGAATGTCAGTAGGTGCAACTTTGTCTACATGGAGGAACTCAATTCCACACTTTGTTTCATATGCACTTTCATGTCATTCTGTCAGATTGTTGCTCTGCTGTCATCTGTCACACAGCAACAAAATGTAACAATATTGGTGGGAAGGCTCCACCTCTGCTACCATACCACCAACATCATCCTGCTGTGCCAACACGATGAAATAGGAGGCATTACTTTTGGAGCAGCCCTTGTACAGTGGCATAAATTTATCTACTTGTAGGAAAAGTCATAACATTTTTTAATAATAATTCACTTCCTTGCTGTTGTTTCACACTGTTTTAATGCTGAAATAAAGAAATAAAGATTCCAAGGACCTTCTGTAGTCTAGTTTAAATCTTATAATAAAATTGTAACTTTTGAATAATATCAGTAATATTTTTATGACAGTATAAGTCTGTTCATATCCTGAATCAACCCCATTGACTGTGTTATCTGTTGCTGTACCACAAGCTTTGCAGAGAAAGTTGCAAGATTCCCAGTTGATACAGATGTTTGATATATAATTTGCTATTGTTCAAGTCTCCTTCTATTTTAGTGTCATACAGTGCAAATAAGTGTGTACATGGTTCAAGAAAAGTATTTCCTATCAAACCAAGTCTGGTTGGTTTGTCCAGTATTCATCAGAGCTTCTTGAATCCTCTGCCAGTGCAGTGATACTCTGGGACAGAATAAATTCTGTTAGGTAATGTAAAAAATTAAGTTAACTTCTCAGCAAAAAGAAAAGCTTTTCTACACTAATAGCTGCTTTTTAGGTTCTAAGTAAGCATGTTTAATGCTTTTAGTTCTGAAAAGGCACAACTCTGCATTTATCTGTGGGACTCCAAGCAACTTTTAAAATATCTACGGATTTAGAACTATTGTTTATTTTAACAAGCAAAGCAGGAGGATTGGGTAAAGAAAGCACCATTAAATCCTGTATAATCTGAAAGACGTGTGCATTTGTAAGCTTGTTATTTCAATTTTCATTTAAACAGCAATTGACAACATTTTAAGCTGAAGTGCTGTGTCCTCTATCAAGAATCCATTAAGGTCAGCATCAGGTGCCAACCTGTCATGTTGGCATAACAAGATGAGCAAAACAAACAAAACCAAAATACTGTTCTCTAGAGGAGTCAGTAGAAAATGAATTGCTCTTTAGTACACTTGAAAAATTATGTTGTTAAGAAGTCAAAAGGCAACACCTAAAAGCTTTTCAGAGAATGTTTTCCTTCTATACAATATAATTTTATAGTTTTTGCTTCCATGGGCTTTCATTTGTCTCTGTAGTTTGGAGGAGAGACTGCATTTGTCCATTAGGAGAGGCTGGAAGTTTGTTTTTCCATTCAAGAAAACTCCCCAGTTTGGTATGCCTTATCTCTGATGAAAAATGATGTTTTATGATCTTTTGTCTTCTAAATAAAGAGCAATGTTTCAAACAACAGTTTTCTTTATGCGTCTCTGAAGAAAAATCCCTACCTTTAATTTGTTAGAGGTGTGTTCCTTCATTCCACAGATATTTTCTCTGTGCACTTACAGTACGCTTATCTCAGTTATTTCCTCTCAGCTGTGTATACTTGGGAACTACCTTCATGTTACCTTCTTTGGCTTTCCTTTGTTATTGACAGATTTGTTGTGTCCTGAAATTCTTTTCATTTCACAGGTGGAATTACATATCTTTGGATGACGTATTAGATACGATCATAGGCTTATTGAAATAGAAAAGAAGAACGGCTTGCTTAAAACTGAAGTTGTTAAATCTGTTGATTCTTGTCCTGAATACATATCCTGCATTTTTTTTTTTTTTTAAATATAATTTTGTTTTACAGTTTTGTTTCTGATATCCTTGACTTGTAGTTAAACAGTTTTTAACTAGCTTCTGATGGCAATTTGCTGATCAGACTAATGGAAGTTGCTTATAACTGCTTATAACTGAAATAACTTTTATTACGATGTTGAGGGCTGACTATTCTTTATTTTCTTTTTGGGCTACCTAGTGACTTAAAAATCAGCAGGATAAGCAGTGTGGATAAAAGCAGTAAATTCTCTTTCTTTTTCAGAACCAATCTTACTGCATATATAAGTGTTATAGCACAACTACAGGCTTCATTGCATATGCAAAACAACTGCTTTAGACCATTTCTTTTGTAGTATTTTGTCACTTCTCTGCAAAAAGTCTGCAAAAAATGATCATGGAAAGAACAAATTGGGAAGCAAGTATGAGTGCTTACAAAACATTCATACAAAACTTTTGATAGACTCATGGATGAATGTATGTAAAAATGTCCACCTGCCTAACCA